GGAACAAAGGAAGACTGGTTCTATAGTGATGGGATGCAAACTAGTCAGCCATTATGAAGATCAACATGGAGGTTTCTCAAACACTTAAAACTAAAATCACCAGATGATTCAACTGTACCACTCCTGGGCATCCTCCCAAACTCCCAGTTTACTGCAGAGATGCACATATTATACGCATGTTATTGCTGTACATTTCATAATAGCCAAGAAGAGGAACCAGCCTAGTTGGCCATCAACAGACGAAGGGATAATAAAATTGCGGCCCATTTACACAACGGATTTCCCTAAGTTTTAAAGAAAAATGAAAATTTCAGGAAATTGGACCAGATCTAAGAAGTATTCTTTTAAGCAAAGCCACCCAAATTCAGAGAAAACAAAAGCATAAAACCAAACTTGTTCTCTATCATATGGAGATCCTAACTTGTGGTACCTATGGCCATATATGTGATTATATGCATATGTGTGTATGAAAACACACGTGAGTCAAGCTTTCAAACTAGAAAGGAGACCAAGGGAAGGTTAGAGGTGGTGTTGAGGGAGCAGGGTGGGAAGCGGAAAGAGGGCATAAGGACCTGCGGGGCATGAGATCGGGGAATGATACAAGGTCTGGGGAGGGATACAGGCAGAAAAATCAACCACAATGAATTTGTTTGAAAAACGCCACAATAAAACTTAATACTTTGCAGGTGAATTACAAATATAAAACTAACAAAAGATCAATTAACGAAATAAGAGTAAGAAACGAACAGACCCCAACCAATCAATGAAGCAGCATTAGATATATTACACATATGCGCCGCCCCTCCTTTACCTCCAAACATGAACAACCTTTAGCGAGAACTACATTGACAAGTGAATGTCAGACTGGGAAGGTTATTATCTGATTCTATCACGACAGCAGTGGGAAAAGGAATAGGGTATAGGAACTGGCCTCTCATTTGATCACAGGCAACTAAAAACTCAAATTGAGCCAACAGTCACCTAAGCAGTTAAAATATTAAGATTGGCCATGCATCAGCCATCCAGAAATAAGCACGGACTCCCAGAGTGGGACACACTTTTAAGGCTTTGATATGACCATCTCCTTTCAGTTTAGGGGAGGGTCTGTTCTAAATACTTCTTCAAAGGAGCCAGGTATATGACCAGGTGGGTATCGTCCTGCCTGCCCTCAGTTCCCACCCCTCCGTGAGTTGATGCTTTTCACATGGTCTATTTTTATCTTTACTCGACTCATAATCAAAATCCTGGATATAGCGTTCAGCTCACTGAATTGGAGCAGTTGTTACTGCCTTGAGCTGAAATAACCTATAGATGGCCTTTTTCATTCCACAGCGGTTACAAATACTTAAGGTTAATTATTTCTCCTTTTTGTGATAACCCCTAATCACAGGATGGCTGTTAACTCCAGTACACAGTCCATGCTGGTGGATTCCCAAGGTCCCCTAGGTTGTTTAGGATGTACTGATTAATTCCAAAGGTCTCAACCTGCTTAAAGGCTTCTAGTTCCTATCACCAGTATCAGAATCTTTGTGGCACCAGGCAACTCAGAAACTCCTTGCTGGGAGATGAACATAAACCACTGTCTCAGATTCCCAGTCTTGCTGCTGTTTTCAGTTATTCTGCGCAGTACAATTGGAGAGTGATTCTGCTCCCCCAGTTACACATTCTATAAATATGACAACTTCTTGTCCTGTTATCTGAGTCTTAGCCTTTTTAAATAAAACCACAGATCTGCATTTTAAACATCCTTCAGGTAAATATCATCATCATTATCACCACCACCAACAGCAACAACGAAAAAGGTCTGAAGAAGAGAAAACTGAGATAGTTTCCAGCGACAAAATTATTGGTTCTCACTTTCATTATTATTGTTTACATAGTCCTGGATATCGTAGCCAGGATTAGGCAAGAGAAAGAAACAAAGGAAAACCAGCTAAGGAAGAAAAAGTGAAGTTATCCTTCTTTGAGGACGACAGGATTGTTTATGGAGAAAACAGTATAAACTCCACTGAAAATGTTTAGAATTAATAATTCAGTGAAGATCTTCAACATAAAATCAACAAACATTTTTATGTACCAGTAATAAATGACTGATTTTTTTTTTTTTTTTTAGAAAATCTTCCTGAAGAGAGATGAGGACTGTACTTCTTTGGGTATAATGATAGACATTAAAATTTAGTTAAGGTTTATGCTAGTTTAATAAAGTGGTGGGTGTAGGTTGCTCTCCAAGATTCATAACTTCGTTAGCTTTGGGCAATTGGTTAGGTGGTCAGTAACAGGCACACGTTTTCCTCCTGTTGAGTGGCTCGTAGTTTCCATTACAGAGCTGTTAGCTACCACCAGGGTGTATGCCACTACTGAACACTTAGGACTCTAATGCATATTAGTTCTTATTGTGATGTATAGGCCTCATATCTGGGCAGGATTGTTGGTGAAATATCATTCAGAACAGTCTTATCCAAAGTCTCACAGAGATACATTACTCAGAAATAAATTTTACTAAAGAAGTAAATGAGGGCTAAGCAACTTGACGCGTAGGGTCAAGTAATTTCCGCCAAGGCTAACAATCTGAGTTCAATACCTAGAACATAATGGCCGGAAGGAAAGAACCGAGCCGTGCAGCCTGTCTTCTGACGTCCATTCGTGTGCATAAGATCACAGCCACACAAACAGACAGATAAATGTAATTTAAAAATCGAGAGAAAAAACTAGAAGATCTCCAGAGTGAAAATTTAAAAACAATAAAAAAAATTATGAGATTACGTACAAGAAAACAGACTCAACTTATGCTCATCAACTCAAAATATTGCTACAATATTCATCTGAATCCCAGTTGCGATATCTATTTGGGAAGGATCAGGAGGTGTGGCCTTGTTGAAGGAGGTGTGTCACTAGGGGTGGCTTTGAGGCTTCAAAACCCAAGTCATTCACAGTTAGCTCTCCCTGCCTCACGGTTGTTGTCTCAACATGTAGGGTCTCAGACAAATGTAGATTATGGTGATTGGATCATGGCACACTACATACATACATCAAATTATATTATACCTCACAAATAAGCATACTTGTCAAAGTCTTAGAGAAAATGTTCAATGAATTAATAAATGGCTGCAAGCACCACTTGCTTTTAATCATATAATTTTCAGAATCCACAATCCAGACCCCAGCATCACCCTGTCTCTCAGAATTTGTCTTGACCTGGATGGTGGTGACTTGGGCATACAACTTTGCAAGACTCTAGATTTCTACAGATTAGAAAACCCATTAACCCCAAGTTTAGTACATTTTATTCCATAAATGCTGTACTTCCATCAAAACATAAGCTGAATAAATTCCACCAAATTGAACCATCAGAACCTATAGTGTCCAAATTCAAACATTTTTCATGTAACATCTTTACATTAAATTATACATGAAGGACTGAAGTCATTGAAGACACAAAGACAGCAAGACAGGGCTCTACAGTACGTTAAAGAATCTCTATAAAATCATAAGTCAAAAAGAACAACGTTCTGTTAGAGTCTACCTATTAGCAATGCTACTATTGGCAGTTATTTTTTTTAATATTTATTTATTTATTATGTATACAATATTCTATCTGTGTGCATGTCTGCAGACCAGAAGAGGGCACCAGACCTCATTACAGATGGTTGTGAGCCACCATGTGGTTGCCGGGAATTGAACTCAGAACCTTTAAAAGAGCAGGCAATGCTCTTAACCACTGAGCCATCTCTCCAGCCCCCTATTGGCAGTTATTTTACTGTATCCTAAACCGGCATTATGCGTGTCTTTTATTCCCCGCACATATAGCAATCTCACAACACTGAAGCATTTTTTTTTTTTTTTGCATTTTACTGTTTAAGTACCTACCCCCTTTGATAAAATAGAAACCATTTAAAGATGTGGGTAATGTATTATTCCTCTGAGCCTTTTTCTCTTCCCAGTTTGGCATAGTGCATGGTATGTAGTAGATATTCAGTAGGTGTTTATCATCAAATAATCCAGACACAAACGATAACAGGCAATTAAACGCCTACCTATGTAAATACTAAGGACAGGCTCATCTACTTTGCCAACAGTATGCTTTGAGTCTCTTTAAATCCCAGTAAATCTACCACATCTTAAGCTCAGAGTATTCTTTTGGTCCCGTTTTAGAACTGCTTTTATTTTAAAGACAGGAAAACAAACAGTCCAAACTCATTTTTTCTGTGTTAAGCTAACATGGGGATTAAAAAAATAATACGGCTCTGTGATTTTCACCCAACTAGGAGAGGCTATTTTGGAACTGTGTGGACTTTAGATATTTGAAGCAGTAATTACTTCCCCCATAAATGTTACCTTTTAGAGTCAAATACTATTTTCCCACTGCACTTCACATTTTCCTTAAAGGAAAACATGTTTTATTCAGAGTTGACTGTGCTATGTTCCTGTGTGCGGAAAGTCTCCTTTCCCTTTGTGTAGATGGCTTTGTAAGGTCCGCCAATCAAGGCAGCTAGGAGAATAATTTACACCCATTAAATATTAGGCCTTACATGTTCTACGTCATTGAATACCCACAAAATATGATGAGTATTTATACATCTGTACTTCTGCATATTATTATATCATCTCAGACAACATTTTATCTATCCATCCATCCATCCATCCACCCATCCATCTGTCATCAAAGCTTAGAGATTTTCTAATCAGTATGTGGTGTGATCAGGGTAACAACACCCGAGAACTCACCTCCACATTTTATATTCTTAGCTGTTAAAAGTTTTGCAACAGAATTCATGGAACATACTTTGCATACTTATGGATCCGGTGCTTTCTTTAGAGAACTACTTATGTAACTATTTAAAAAAATAAACAGGATTTTTTTTTAGAGTAATGCTATACCAAGTTGATGCAGATAAGAGTCCAATAGTCTCCTTTCCACACTGAGCAACACATTATCCATGCTTACCTCACGTTCAACAACATCGACTGTATGTCTGGGATTTTTTTTTTCTACAACTTACCATTGCCTTGGGTTTGGTTCCAGAAATGCTCTCTGGAGCGGACCATGAGTCGGTGGAGTCAGTGTTAGAAGACAGAGTCACCTGCGTCTGATTTACTGAGATACTATCTGTCCCGCTTTCAGATCCTGATTCCAGATCCTGTTAAAGAACAAATGCATGGGCATAAACAAGGGCACAGAGTTGAACCCTACACGCTCACTTCCTCCCGCCAGCGGTCCTCCCTCCTTTGTGACTTCCAGTCACTCACAGCATCCCAGAGGCAGAAAGGTGAGGTGCCTGCCAGACTTCCTTGCAAGGTCTTGTGAATGCCACATGAAAACATGTTTCCAGTCTTAGCTCACCATGTAAGGGGTGCTTTTCACTATGAAATTACAAACTATCGATAGTATTGAAACTCATTTTCTGCAGATGGGATGTAATATGAGGCGGTTAACATGTAAATGAGTAAGAAGAGTGATACTGCTTTCTTTAAGCGGTGTGTCTGCGTGTCCATCTGTCCGTACAGGGCTGTGTGAAGTACAAAATTGTAACCAAATTTTTTTTGTGCTTGAAATGACTTCAGGTCAGACTACTTTATGACTTTCCATAGAAGACAAAAACCATGTTTTCTTCTAAATAAAATATGGCTCACTTGAATTTCAAGTTGAATTAATATGAAATGGATACCAGCAAAAAAAAAAAAAACCCAGGTAGTTTATAAACATTAAATATATAGCCATGAGTAATAATTCATTTAATTTACCTTTTTATAAATAGCATGGGCATTGTGCATTTATTTTGCCCATCCATGATGTAATGAGGTAGTTAAAAGGGTACTCTTTTATTTTCTAACCATACAATAATAAGTATCAGGTGATCCAGATACTGTAAAGATTGAAAAGTAGTTTTGATACTCAGAGATGTGTACTATTTATGTCTTGTTTATTGTCTTCTATGAGCGTTGAAGGAAACAGAAGAGACTCAACAATGGCCAAGCATATTCTGGGCTATATCTATGCATTTCTGCTTATGTATGTTTTTTTCTTCTGTCTCCCTAGCCAGCTGTTAGGTAAACAGTTCATCTTTGTGTGTTCCTCTCTCTCTGACATGATCCTACCATTGAGAAATTAGACAGTTTTTTTATGGTCTTAGGTAGCCAGTTATAAAGCTGAGATCCAAATGGACCTTCAGTCACTAACATTTGCAATGCTTCTGCTAACCTATTTTGCTTTATTTCAACTGATGATAAACTGAGATCTTAGAAACAGATGTTATGTTTATAGTGGCAACAAATATGGTAATAATTATGGTTATAGTCCATGAGATAGTTTATGAAATACTAAAGTCCAATTTACAACTTATGTAGAAGTGCAAATCATAGATATAGACAAATGACTCGATCATCATGTATATTAACTCACGTGTTTGGTTTATCTTTACTGCATAAACCCCAGAGGGCAGGGGGTAGCTTACTTTTTAAAATGAAGTTAAAAAACATGGTGTTTTGTAGAAGTCTCTACTGTGGTTTTCTATTTAATATATGGGGACTGAGAAATATTGGCTGGAGAGAGAAGAGAGAGATTAAAAAGCATGCAAAATCATAACAAACCACCCCCCAAAACTTAAAAAAAAAAGTATAAGCCTGGTGGTGGTGGTGCATGCTTTTAATCCCAGCACTTGGGAGGCAGAGACAGGTGCATCTCTGTGAGTTCGAGGCCAGCCTGGTCTATAAGAGCTAGTTCTAGGACAGGTTCCAAGACTACAGAGAAACCCTGTCTCAGAAAAGTACTACTACTACTAATACATAATTACTAAAACATACATCAGACACCATAAATGGCAAGAAGGTACCAAGTCCTAGGGCCTCATGAAAAATAAGATGTTTCTGCCTTTAAAAGTGGTAGAGAAAAATGAGTGTGAAATTTTTATCCTCTCTTCATACATCAATCAAATTATAGCATCCCACCGGGAGGTGGTGGTGCACGCCTTTAATCCCAGCACTCGGGAGGCAGAGGCAGGCGGATCTCTGTGAGTTCAAGACCAGCCTGGTCTACAAGAGCTAGTTCCAGGACAGGAACTAAAAGCTGCGGAGAAACCCTGTCTCAGAAAACTACTACTACTACTACTACTACTACTACTACTACTACTACTACTACTACTAAATAATTACTAAAACATACATCAGACACCATAAACGGCAAGAAGGTACTGAGTCCTAGGGCCTCATGAAAAAAATAAGATATTTCTGCCTTTAAAAGTGCTAGAGAAAAATGAGTGTGAAATTTTTGTCCTCTCTTCATACATCAAAGTAAAGCATCCCTTCTGTAGGCTGTTAGGACACTGCTTTGACTGCATTTCTCTCATTTAAGTCCCCTTTTTCTTTGTTAAAATGAAACTAGGTGCCAGCAGCTAAGACAGCATTAGGGAGAGAAGAAATAGATTTTTTCTAAATTGTTTCTTATATACAATTCACTAAAAAGAAAATAAGTGCAATAAATCTTGAAGGATAAAAAATTACTGATTACCAAAAATGAAAATTTCATTTTTTACCAGCTTTTGAGATTGAAATCTAGTTTCATATCAATTGGATGATTGTTATGTTGGTTGTTGTTCTAGAGATATCAGCTTCTCATTCTAGCCTGGTTGAATGCTGTTGCCCCGGATTGTGCCCGGCTGGGTTTATTTCTGTGCCAACTCTGGCACATGCAATCTTCAACTTTTTACATCTTACTCATCTTGCAACATTATGGAAAATATGTGTGGTGACATATATGGAACACATTGAGTACCATCCCCATGGTGATAGCCCTTGCTCCTTTACCTCAGAATCAATAGAGAAATTATATTAAGTAAGAAACTAGTGAATTCTGCTTCACTAGGTCCTTAAAGCTGCCTATGTGATAGTCTACATTTTGTATCTCACGTAAATATCAATGTCTTGATTCAGTTCATTTATTATTGTGCAATGCAAATCTTTGTTTAATATAAAAGGGATGCGGCTTAATTATAGTTAAACTCTATGCTATATATGCTAGGTCTACCCAAACCAAGCCACTTAGCATGGAACTATTAATATATATGCAAAGGATAGAGTCAATTTTAGGATCTAGTCTTTCTAAATTTTATTTTGAATTTTGGAATCACATTGGAGCATCTTGCCATATAAATTTAATGGGATAAAGTTCTCACTTTTCTCCTAATTATTTTTCAGAGTATATTTTAGACTACAAAGAAGTTACCCTCATGTGAATTATTTTTCACAGTATACACAAGTAGCTCACCTGTATCTATGTATCCATCTCCCATCCAACCACTCATCCATCTACTCATCCATCCACCCGCCCACCCATCCACCCATCCATCCGTTCATCTGTCCATATAGAAAATACTTTTAAAACATGTTTTTTTTATCATGCAGTGTAAGATTATAGAATAAGAATTTATGTCTTAGAAATAATTGGTCACAACTGGAAAAACTGGAAAAATTATTTATCCAGATAGACAGAATATTTGTAATGATTGCATTATGTTGATGAAGAATAGCAAATATAGTCATATTTGCAAACTACTACAGCAAAGAGGGTTTAATCCTCAGCAAGCAGAGTTTCCTAAGGCCATTTTGTTTCCTTTTTAATGTTACGTTTTGTTGTCACCCATGTGTCTGTGGACTCTCTGTGTGATGTACGGAAATCACTGAGTGATCTCTAGGGGGGGGGGTTCTGTTTCGTTTATCAGTAGATGCCATTATCAAAGATGTTTCACTAATAAGAGAGACCATATGAGATAAAGAGGAACTATTCTAACTGGGCTTGTAATTGTAGCTTCTTGAGCAGCGAAGGCAGGAGGGTAGTAAGTTCAAGGTCAGCTGGGGCTATATAATGAGTATAACGATAGCCTGGCCAACATATTAAGTCCGTGTCTCAAAGAAGAAACAGGACTGCTGAAGCGGAAGATTGATTGCCTGGTGTGAGTCAGGCCTGAGTGTCAGTCCCCAGTTTCTGGGGGGAAAAAAAGCTAAACAAACACTAATAACAAATAGCAAAACAGACACAGAGAGGTACTACTCCACTAGGAAAAAGAGGCTCACAGGGACATGCCGGCGCAGGTTCGTCGGGGTGCTGGATGGGGAAGAGACAGTGCTGAGAGCGTTCTCGATGTCTTGGTCTAGTTGGTCCAGTTTCATAATTAGCAGCACCATGGAGTCCAGCCGCGGCCTGTCTCGATCGTCCCTTGTGTC